TCAGTATCTACAGAATTTAAGGCATATTATTTTGGTTTCACTGATGTTAATTTAAAAACCAAAAACAAGGCCAGGCACAGTGGCTCATGCCTGTAATCCTAGCACTCTGGGAGGCTGAGGCAGGTGGACAGCTTGAGATCACGAGTTCAAGACCAGCCTGGGTAGTGAGACCCTTTCTCTACCATTAAAAAAATTAAAAAAAAATAGCCTGCTATAGTAGCATGCGCCTGTAGTCCCAGCTACTGGGGAGACTGAGGCAGGAGGACAGTTTGAGTCCAGGAGTTTGAGGTTGCACTGGGCTATGATCGTGCCACTGCACTCCTGCCTGGGAAACTGAGCAAGACCCTGTCAAAAGAAAAAAAAGAAAGCAAAGAAAGAGAAAGAAAGAAAAGAAAAAGAAAGAAAAAGAAAAAGGAAAATAAAAAGACAAATGAGTACCATGATCACAGACTACAAGATTCAATACTGTAAAGATACCAATTCAACCCAAACTTATCTACAGACTCAGTGTAATACCAATCAATAACCCAGCAGATTTTTCCATGGAATTTGAAAAGCTGACTCTAAAGGTTATATGAAAATGTAAAGAGCCAAGGAAATCCTGAAGAACGATAAAACTAGATATCAACATTTATTATAAAGCTATAGCAATTAAGACAAATAGAGCAATGGAATCAAAGAGAGCCCAGAAACAGATCGACACATACATGATTAACTGATTAGCTATGACTAAGGTGACACTGTAATGTAATAAGGAATGGGTGTCCTTTAGATAAATGATGAGGGGTACTCTGGATACTTATATGGAAAAATATGAACCTTGATCTTTACCTCACATTATATGTAAAAATCAATTCCAGATGAACTGTAGATTTAAATATGAAAGATAAAACAATGAAATTTCCAGAAAAAAATTTCAGAGAATATATTAACGACTGTGGTAGGCAAAGATTTCTAAAACAGATCACAAGAAGCACTAATCATACACGAGGAAAAAATTGTAAGTTAGATTACATTAAACATTAAGAACCTCTCGTCATCAAAAGACAACTGCCTGAAGTAAAAAAGCAAGACACCAAGTGAGAGGAAGGATTTGAAATACATTTAGCTAACAAAAATATTCTTATCTGGAATATATAAAGAAGTCCAACAATTCAACTAGGGAAAAAAAGCAATTAAGAAAATGGGCAAAAGAATAGACTAGGTATTTTACAAAAGAGGATGTTCAACAGGATAATAATCATATAAAATGGTGCTTGACACCCTTAGCCATCAGGAAAATATAAATTAAACCTCAGTGAGATACTACTTGCACAGTCATCAGAATGGCTAAAATGAAAAAGAGAGACATAACTAAATATGACCAAGGATGTGGTACATTGCTAGTAGGAATGTAAACTGGAATAATAACTTTGGAAAACTGGCAGTATCTAGCAAAGCTGAATATCTGCATAGCTTTTGATCCTGAAATTCCAATCTTCGGTATACACTCAACAGAAACACATACATATGCTCGCCAAGACATATGTACAAAAATATTCACAGCAACCCTATTGTAATAGTCCCAAACTGGAAACAACTCCAATGTGGTATATTCATACAATGGAATACCATACACAGCAACAAGAAAATGAACACTGCTACTTACAAGACTGATGAAACCCACAAACATTATACTGAGGGAAAGAAACCAGACACAGTAATGTAAGTACTATTTTATTCTATTAAATAAAAATTCAGAAACAAGCAAAATTTATCAGTGGTGTTCGAAGTCGGGACAGTGATTACCTGAGTGTTTATGTAGTGATGTTGGGGGATGGACAGAGAATTGATTAAAAAAAAAAAAAAAGGGTTTGGGAAAGGCTTCTGGCTACTAATAATATTCTACTTTTTAAAATCATGGGTGTGTTCACTTTGTGAAGATTCATCGGGGTATACATTTATAAATAAGTGTACTTTTCTGGGTATATGTTATACTTCAATAAAAAGTATCACTAAAGTTTTTTTTAAAAAAGTCAGGCAGGGCATGGTAGCACATCTATAATCCCAGCACTTTGGGAGGTCAAGGCAGGAGGATCACTTGAGGCTAGGAGTTTAAGACCAGCCTGGACAACAGAGCAAGACCCATCTCTATAAAAAAATAAAAACTAAAAAAATCAGGAGTGATGGAGCATGCCTGTAGTCCTAGATATGTGGGAGGCTGAAGTGGAAGATCACTTGAGCCCAGGAATTCAAGGTTATAGTGAGCTATGATCATGCCACTGCACTCCAGCCTGGGTGACAGAGCAAGACCCTGTCTTTAGAAAACAAAAATTCAATTCCTGGGGGGATATCTCAAATTAGGTTAAGAGATAGAATTTTTTTGCTGGGAATACTCAAGGGATTAGAAATAGAACTGAGCTGGAATAAGTATGCTCATTTTTCTTCTCCTGGTCTCTCTTTTGGCTCCCATTCAGTTTCATAAAGCCAAAGCCTAAGGACAAATCCAAGGTTACCTTCCAGCCTGCAGACAACAATTTGCTCAGTCTCCTAAGCTCTTAAAAAATCAAGTAAAGTAAGAATTCAGTAAGAATTCAGCATGGAGAAAACATGAAATGAGCAGTTCCAGGATACTTTTCATATTCTTCCGTACTCATAGGAATGATAAAATCCGAAGGACCTTGTGATAAAACAAATATGGTCCTTGCATACACAGTTTCCTCCCTTTAAGTCTAAAGCTAAAGAATCAAAAGCAGCTGACATGTTTAGGTCACCAGGCTAGCAACTCACACAGTTACAGGGCTAGAGCTATTAACAAAGAGGATGCAGCTGCCCAGACTGTTTCCTATTTGTAATATATACTACCCAAGAAGCCTAAAAAGGTGGTGGCAACCAGGGTAGGTGGTTCATCAAGGACTTGAGACCCACAACGTAGCACGCACTAGCATGATTAATGAGTCCAGCATCTCATTTTATTTAATAACAAAAGCTGTTTTCATGTTGTACATATTACATAGTTAAGATATATTCTTATCACTTAATACAAAATTAATAATTTCTATCCTTATTTGAAAAGCACATAATGTGATGGTGCATCAACCTAAGTATTAAAACATTTAAATGATTACAGTAATAAATGTGCATAGTATGACTGCAATAAAGTTTGTGGTATTGTGGAAACAACTGGAATTGGGAGTCAAGAAGCCTAGCATAAAACCTGACATTTAGCACACATATAATAAATGACAAATAAATGATCTAGTGCTGAGGGACACTGAGCATGGTGTTTTCTCTGTGTCTGTTTCTTCATTGCTAAAATAAGAGAATTAAATAAGTTACTACATATAAAATGCTTAGAACAGTCCTTGACACAGTCAGTACTCAATAAGTAGTAGACCCTATTACTAGATGCCAGTCCTGGTTCTGCCACTAAACTCAGGTATAATTTCAGACAAGTAACTAACCATTCTGGAATTCTATAAAATGACAGGGCTAATTATGGTTGTTCTATAGCTTCCTTTCCACTCTAAAAAATATTTAAATTTCAATTCTCAAGCATGTTACATTAGGGAATAATACCCCCACACATATTAAAACTTTAAATACTGCCTTATTTTCTAAACTACAGCATGCTGTACAATATACACTAAATATACTGTTGGGGGAAGGAGGATTGGTATGCATGGATATGATTGAACACCCAAACTGTAAGTAGAGACTGTAACTTGAATACCTATCAAAAAAAAAAAAAAAAAGAATATGCACAGAATAAGGAAAAGAGCCCTAGATGAGGATTAAGATTTTGTTCTACTCATGGCACTGCTGATAACCTTAAAACAATAAGTTACTCCTCTCTATGTCTGTTTACTTATTTGTAAATTGAGACAGTTTGGGATAAATGATCACTAAGATCCACTTGGGACTTCTTTTACTTTTTTCCTCCTTCTAAACTAGAATGTTGTCAATTATTACTGTTTCTAGAAAACCAAAACCTATACCACCAATAAATGAGAGAATTGGCCATGCTCCTACCCCTAAACAGTTCCTAATCTGAGGGTAGGTGTGATAATGGCAGGAGCCTTTTACATGGGCCCGTATTCACTTTCAAGAACCAGTGGACTGGCCGGGCACGGTGGCTCACGCCTGTAATCCTAGCACTCTAGGAGGCTGAGGCAGGCAGATCGTTTGAGCTCAGGAGTTTGAGACCAGCCTGAGCAAGAGCGAGACCCCGTCTCTACTAAAAAAACATAGAAAGAAATCGGACAACTAAAAATATATATAGAAAAAATTAACCGGGCATGGTGGCACATGCCTATAGTCCCAGCTACTCGGGAGGCTGAGGCAGGAGGATCGCCTGAGCCCAGGAGTCTGAGGTTGCTGTGAGCTAGGCTGACGCCACGGCACTCTAGACCAGGCAACAGAGTGAGATTCTGTCTCCAAAAAAAAAGAAAAAAAAGAAAGAACCAATGGACTTAATTCTGTCTCTGCTTTCTAGAATAAAGTATATTCTACACCACAGAGAAGGGTAGGAAATGGAAATTAGTTCAATATATGTACTTTCCTCACATAATTATACAATAACTGATGATTCTTTTGTACTACAATATATTTAATAGCCAACATTTATTCAGTACCTACTATGTGAGGAACCCAGTGCTAAGTACTTTTAAAGCATTATAAAACTAGAAGGCAATTTTAGGTGACTTTCAGCAAAGAAAACTGTTTTAAGGACTACAAAATACATGACTAAATTGATTTCATTGGGTCCCAAAGCTAAATCCTTGCAAAAAAAGGACAACAGAATCTTAATTATTTCATTAATTATCTTTAAGAAAAGTAGAAACTGAAATTTAAACTCTGACATTCACATCAAGAAAGTAATTTAATACTTCCAAATGGTTTCATTATACTTTTACCTTTTTATTTCAAATATATAGCAGAATTAGGAAAGAAGAACAGAAACTTGTCTAAAATATATAATTAAAAGTTATTTTTTTTAAAAAAAACTAAAAACCTCTTACCTGAGCATGAAAATTGGACATAGTTGTTGTCTCTATATCTTTCTTTCCCAATATCTCCATTTTCACTGGTGAATTGGGAAAATTAAATGAAAAGTAGTCTAAAAAGTCAGGTAAATAAGTAGCTGCCCCATGAACAATACCCATTACATAGAAAGCTGCAGAGTTTTCATTTTCACTGAACACTAGACCCACAAACTCTTCTGCAAACCTCTCCATCTCCATAGGAGACAGGTGGGAGAGTTCGTTACTGTAGGCATGGATAACCGATGCACCTCCATTAGGTTGGTGCTCAATATGAATGAGCTGTTTGAATTCCAAAGTGTCCAACCTTTTGAGGTTATTCTGAACTCGTGGCTCCTTTAACGAGACAAATGGAAACTCACTGTTCTCTGGAATTTTGGAATCATAGTGCTTGGTATCCAAATTCTTTCCAATGTAATCCTTTATGTTATCATTTAGGATGCCTTTGGCTTCTTGATCTTCAACATCAGATAACAATCCTGAGCAGATGGTCTGAATAGATTTACTATACATTTTTGGACGCTTCCGTTTTTCATTCTCTTTGTGTTTCTTTTTCTTTTTCTTCTTTACTTTTTTAATTTGTAGGTCTTCTACATTTGTTTTTGGTTTCTCCTTCCCACCTGTTGGGAAAAATTTTTTTTGAAACTCTGTATTTCAATTACTTAAAAAACCATGCTTTAGGAACTGTTTTGTAATAAATAAGAAGTTTACTTCTAAAACTTCCAAACATTTACCCAGAATTAATTTTATATTTGTGACTCATTTTGCACAGTACTGATAATGAAAATTTAGTCAGTCTCTCTCATTCACTCTACACACATACATACACACACACACACACAGATGAAGACTTATGACAAAATTACACCTATGGTGTGTGCTACCATTCTGACATGCAGTGGAGGCTCTATCAGTGTTTACTGAAGTAAAGAGATGAATGTTTTAGAAAGCATAATCTTCAAATTTTAAAAGCAGAAATTCAGAAATGGAAAGTTGAACAAAGGTCAATATGAACAATGCCCTCTAGATGCTTCCCACTGATATATATTATCAATTTTACTTTACCTCAGGTCTTAAAAATTGCATCTAAGTGTCAAGGAGATTTAAAAATCATAAAAGAAGAAAAATATTTATATAGTACAACAGCAACAAACACAGTAATTCCTTAGTTTTTTACCAAATTGCCTTCTTAGTAAATTACTCTTATACCAAAATGGTCTATTTTAGGTCTGCCACAGTTTACAAAATTCCCAGTGAAGACTCAGCAAGGTACTGTAAAGGAGATGACAAAATTAGAATCATCTCTCATGTCCTAAGCTCAAATGATACCCATGTACTGGTAAAGACATGAATAAAAAGGTAAAAGACACGGGGCATTATATGCTTGTATATTAAAGAGCTTCTGTGAAAAAGGCAAGTAGACTCTGAGCTTAGAAATTAGAAATCCAAAAAGTAAAATATTAATCCACAGAAGCTATACAGCTATAAAATCTAAGTGTACATGTAAGTACTTAACATAATCACAGTTATATGCATTTCTATATAAGAAAAATTTTAAAAAGTAGCATCCTCACAAGAAAGCTAACAGTAAAAAGCCACTGAGCTAAGGGTTGAGAAAAGAAGGTATTCATTGTTTCCACCTGTTATTTCAGTTTCACAGATAACCTGCCATGAATGAAATAATGAAATTCTCCCAACCAGTTTCTTCTTTTTTTTTTTTTTGGAGAAAGATTCTCGCTATGTTGCTGGGGCGAGAGTACAGTGGTGTCACTATAGTTCACTGCAACCTCGAATTCCTGGGCTCGAGCCATCCTCCTACCTCAGCCTCCCAAGTAGCTGGGACTACAGGTGAATGCCACCATGCCTGGCTAATTTTTTTTTATTTTTTGTAGAGATGGGTCTCACTATTGCCCAGGCTGGTCTTGAACTCCTGAGCTAAAGCGATCCTCCTGCCTCAGCCTCCCAAAGTGCTAGGATTATAGGCATGAGCCACTGCACCCAGCCCCAGCCACCTTCTTTCCCTAAATTTTTCCAGCTTCACATATATTTTATTCCTTTCTGTTTCCAGTGAGGGAGATGTTCTATTTTCAAAAATAAGCCCCTCCCACCAACTCTAAAAACCCTTGCTGTATAGTTTTCTTTTGACCACTAAACTTCTCATAAAGAATCATCTATACCCAATGCCTTTCCTTTATTACCTTATCATCCTTATTACTTAAATTCTGGTTCTATTTTCAGTATACTCAAATATGCTTTCCCAGAATGTTGAAAAATAAAACCCAATGATATTTTCTCAAATCATTCTTCCTGATCTCTCCAAGATTTGACAAAACTATCCAGCTCATCCTTGATTACTTTTGACTTCCTTGGTAAAACTTAGTTTTTGGTCTAACAGCCATATAACTGTCTCTCATCCTGAATGCTGAAGCCATATTAACCTTTCTATAAATTTTTATATATTGTTCTGATCATATTGATCCCTTGGCTAAACTGCTTTCAGGGGCTCTCAGTGCCTACCTATAAAGTATAATCTCTTCAGAATGGAATCCAAACACAGTGCCCTCAAGTATCTCAAGCTCTAGTCAAACTACACTATACTTACATATTTCTTTTAAAATATATCTAGCCCTACCTTATCTTTCTACTACTGGCAAACACATTTCCTCTCTCTAGAACACCCTTTCCTTGCTCAGTACTTACCACTGAACTCTTTCCTACTCAATTCTTTAACAACGATTATGTCATTTCTTTCAAAAATCACTCCTAATTCATAAAATTGTTTGTTTCATTCATAGGATACTACCATATAACATATGTCCTTCAGAACACTATTTGAGTGAAACAAATAATTTTTATATTGATTCAGAGTGAAATGATAATTCTATCATTGTATCCCTCACAGTATTAATATATTGCTACACATAACACTTAATGAAACTCTGAATGAAAAAATCTGTCTTACCAACATACTACCCCGAAGTTTACAGTTTTTCCCTTGCCTCCCTTTCAGTCAAGTTTTTCCACATACGAATACCACTAAATTGTATCCCTGAAAACAACAAAAATTATCTCAAGGTGACAGCAATTCTATAAAAGTGAAATTTAGTGTTATTAGTAATTCTAAAAATTCACAGAAGTGACAATTCCTAAGTGTGTAATGAAGACAAAATTAGTATCATTGTGAAAAGCAAAAATAGAAAACTGTTGACATTATTGCATAGGTTTGTAAAGTCATAAAAGGCAAAGTGTTAATTCTCTAAAGAGTCTATTTGTAAGTAGTTAAGAAATATATTTGAATAATGTTAACAAATTCATACTTGCTGCCTAGGTATGAACTATCAAAACATCAGATTCAGGTTAATATCTTAAGAACAAAAAATAACAAAAAAGTAAAACTGTGGACTAACCAAATGAAACATGAAAGAGGTTAATATATGTAAGCAAAATAAAAAAAAAAATCAAGAAAAAAAGATAACTGTGAAATCAAAAACAGAATTTTAAGAAGTTTAAAGAGCACAGGTGTGAATAACAGCATTCCTAAACCCTGTAACTGAACATATATATAAAACTGTGGAAATTAAATTGTGTGATTGTTTGCCAAAATAAACAAAATTTCTAAACAGACAACATCACTTGAGACTGCTATCTCAGTGAGTGCATCCTGTGTGACAACACTGGAAGAGGACTCTTGGAAACACATGCCTGGTGTCTTCCAGACATTGCCCCATGTGCTTTTTTTCTTTGCTGATTTTACCTTTTATCCTTTCACTACAATAAATGATAGCCATGAGTACAACTACGTGCTGAGTCTGGTGAGTCCTCCTAGCAAATCATGAAACCTGAGGGTAGTCTTGAGAACCCCTAACGGACACTGGTTGTAAAATGCATTTTTTACATTAAACCAAACCGATTTTAAGAGCTTTCTATAATCTCTAACTCATTTCCTGTCTCTACATATGAAATGCAGTAGATGTATGTGTAGAAAATTTTTAAATACTTTAAGGAAATAAGACTATTTTGAATATCAATTTTCTTCTCTTATATGAAATAGTATTTAAAGTACATATTAAATATATAATTCTTCAACAGAACTGAATAAAGGATCCTGATAAGTACCTGTAACAGAAAGAATAGAATTGCTATCTAAGTAATCTGCACCATCAAGAAATGTAAGATTATGTATAAAATAAAAGCATATGGTTGACAGGGGACTCTCCCTCCCCCATGCCAGAGACATTCACACAGTGGATCACAGACATATGCAGTGGGCCACACACACAAAAAGCACTATAGATACACACATGCACAAAGAGTCAGAGCCAGAGAGAGAAAACACAAGACTGGGAGTGAAAGAATCAGAAAGAGAGATGCAGACACATATATAGCCAGAGAGAAAAAGACACAGAGACAGAAAGAATCACACACAGATACAAAGACAGCCTGTGTTGTCAATGGCTAATTTTTTACACACACACACACACATATATATACACATAAAATCTTTTAAAATCACAAATTCACTGGCATTAATTTCTACCACTATCCTTAGTATACTTTTTGTGTTAATAAAGTGAAAAATAAAGGTTACTGAGAAAAACTGAATCTGATTTCATATCTGATATGGAATTAATATATATATGTATATAAATCCATTATCGTACATAGAAAAAAGGTAGCAATTGGCTTACTATTTTTATCCTTTGGTCTTTGAGGAATGACTTTGCTTTTTTCACACTGAGATGTTGTCACTCTTCCTGCCATGATTTACCTACCTGTGACCTTTAATATACTACCAATAACCTTGGAAACTGGCTTCTTTTAATCCCCATTCCAGCTGCTCACCACCAAACTTCTTTAATATGTTATAATGATAACACACTCAAAAATACTATAATCATAACATGTTTATTTTTGTAACTTATTAATAAGCAAAATAAAAGTGGCTGGAACATACACGTATGCTCAGGAAATGCAGTTGGTGAACGTTAGTATAAAAGGATGAGACCCTTGGCCGGGCGTGGTGGCTCACGCCTGTAATCCTAGCACCCTGGGAGGCCGAGGCGGGCGGATTGTTTGAGCTCAGGAGTTCGAAACCAGCCTGAGCAAGAGCGAGATCCCATCTCTACTAAAAATTAGAAAGAA